GACAACTGTAAAAAAACAGAGATCGATTTTACACCGTATATGATCAGGAATCCCTTGTAAATCAATAAAAAAAAATAATAAAATAATCAATATTTTTCGATTCGGACAAATGTTGCGGCTTGTGGAAGATGAATGCTAATCTACAAAAACAAAAATTAACAATAGTTCTCTATTTTTTAACGAGTCTGTCGGTTTAAAAGTGGTACAGCAAACCCTCAGTAAAAGAAAGAAAACATTTCCTGAGTTAAAGAGCCAACAATTGGGCGTCACACGTTTAAGTGTATGTTAGCGAGTGAGTTACAGTTGCAGTGTCGCGAGTTCGATCCTTATTGGGCGTCCAGTATTTTTCACCTTGTTTTAAACTGGAATTACTAATTAACAGCTGCCAAAACAAAGGAATGGTAAATGAAAATAAGAAATAATAAAATTTCACCAAAGAATTATTATTGCCATACGTTGTTGAATACCTCAGAAAAAATATTTTTCATTGTTTGGAGACTGGAGAGTGTTTAATTCCGAAATTGTTTAAAAAAAATACGACTCAGCCAGAAATTCCTTTTCTGCAAAATTAAATTTTGGATTTTTTTTTCTCAATAAAAAGAATTTCCAATCCAAATTAATACATTTTTTTTTATGAGCACAACCGAAAAAAAAAGTTTTCTTTTATGAGAAGTGAAGCGGGAAAAACAAACAATTAGTTCTTTCTTCCTTCACGTACAAAACAAATGCAATCAAAATCTTTGTCCCTTTTTATTGCATAAAAAAAGGCAAGGGACCGTACGTGGACAAAATAATTTTAAAATAAATAAGCGAAAATTAGAATAATTGTGAACTTTAGTAGATCATAATTAATATTCTCCAAAAATAAACGTTATCTTTTTTAAATTCAATCCATGGGAAGAAGAAAAAAGAAAAGAAGGAATTAATTAAAAAGTAATTTAAACGCACCAAAGAAACATGCTGAACTCTGCCGGTACACTATTAAAATTAGTTCCTTCTATTAAAATTTCCGGAACTCAACATTTCAGTCAGTAATAAAAAAAAAATCCTTCCTTCTTTACTATTCATATATTTTGTCGTTTGCTTCATTTTGAACCCCATATTTTTCATAATCAAAATATAATCTTTGATAATAAAAGCCTTTTTATTAAAAGGAAACGAAGTATTATTAACATATTTCATAAACGAAAAATGTATTTAAAACATATGTACGGAAAATATAAATATCTTCCTGTGGGTCCTACATATTACAAACGGACCAGCATATTCTTCCTTCACTAATAAATATTAATTTTTCATGGGTATGGAAAGATTGTGCTACGCCAAACTTTCTACGTCCTTCTACACATTTTGAATGTTTTATTGCATTTTTCAACATTACAAAGTAAAAATGTCGCAACATAAAAATACGAATGCATTTCTTTATTTAAAAGCACAAGTCATATTTTATTTACCAAAATTACAAATATGATTCCATATTGGATAGAAAAATAAACTTTAAAATAAAGTATCATTCATTATTCAAAGTGTGCAACGTTTAATTGCGACATCAACACATATTTTACTGCATTTTATCCGGAACTATTCTTTCTTACAAGTACCAACATTTTAATAATTAAAATGTCTTTTAGTTTTAAATTGAAATTTAATTTAAAACTAAAAGACATTTTTTTTTTTTTAAGTAGGGTGGCCTTCTTTTTTTGTAGTGACAACCTAAAATCAAGGACCGTAACTTCCACGTTCTGGAAGTAGAATTATTTTCCTTTTACACCGTTTATTTAGGTGTTGTTTCTCAGCACGTGGGGAAGATGAAGGTAAAATTACTGTCACGAAATCCTGATGATTATCTACGAGAGACAAAAAATGATATTCAGAAAGGTAAGAAAAAATAACGCTTAATTTGAGACCACATAGTAGATGAAATAATTGTGTATTTCAGCACTTATTATAATCCACGATATGTCTTTTATTTTTAAAAATTTAAAACACGTACGTCGTGTTTTAAGAAACAAATAACAATCTTGTTAAACACACTTTTAGGAAGTCTTTTAAGAAGATGATCCATGAAAAGCTGAATTTTTTTTTAGATGCACCCTGTCTCGTCTTCCTTTAAGAGATATTGTTGAATTGATCTCCCATTGGGTGATAGAAACACCAGTTACATGAGCAGCAGTTTTAGTCAGTGGTATGCAGGCCTCATCAGTACAGAGGTACCAATACTGTAGAGATGTTTGCAGCATTGTCAATACACATCAGCAACTCGGACAAAACAACAATGTTGCAGAGATTGATGAATCTCTGATGTTTAAAAAAAAGGACAATGTTGGAAGAGTAGTACTACGTCGAACATAGATTTGACTTTACGATATTGATTTAAAAAAAAATACCTGGTTCATATTGCTGATAGAAATGCAGAAATTTTACTTCCAATTGTGTAGCGATGTGTTGTACCTGGTGTTATCATTCATAGCGATGGATGGGCCGCTTACAATGGGTCAGCTACGATTGGGTTTCTTCAGTATTGTCCACCATTATCAGAATTTTTGTAACGAACCCTATGATGGGGGCCTGTAATGATGTAGAAACATACGGGGCAAGAAGAATCAAGAAACGCCTAATGACAATTGATGGTTCAAACGTTGATCTGAAATGGTCACGTCTGGATGAGGCAATTTATAGTTTTTTTGTTTTTTTTTAAGTCTTGTCACCCTCTACCAGACCATAATGAGAATAGTACAAGTAATACAATTAATACAAAGCAAATGTACTGGATTCAGTTTATTCCCTTTCATTGACACTGTCACTCATCAAGAAGGTCTGTAGGAACGCCATCATTTTCATGTCACAAAATGATGCAGCGCCATGTTCTGCATGATATTTTACAAAGCTGTGCTTTGTCGATTGTGGCAAAGACTTTCAGAATGGCATCGTTCAACTGATGGGTATTCTGGTATCGCTCACAGGAAACTCTCTCCTTGATAATACGTCACAGAGTGTCGAAGTAGAAAATTATATTATGTAGGGTGTGATAAGACTTTCACTCTGCAGCCACTATCCAATATAGGGACCTTCACTTTTTGCTGAACATGAGAACCAAACAAAAAATTAAATTTGTCTTTTTATCTCCGGTCTATGACAATGTTATTGAGTTGAGCTGTGTTATTTGTTGAAAATGATTGCCACTATTGTTTTCAAAATAATCTGAAAACTTCATTCCCCACCCCAGAAACATTAACTTCTAGAAGGTGGAGTTATACAATACACACTTTATTATTTAAATTCATTAAATAGGTCATTTAAACCTTATTCTGTCAAGATGGCCTCATGTGGCAAAAATGGTAGTGGCATTTCTTCAGCTATCAAAGCAGTTTTCTTAATGGAAAAAAAATAGATACAGTTTCGATTTCTGTCGGCAGGCACAAATCTTCTTTAGTAGGGTTTCTCGAGCGAAGCCGGTTGTTATTAATTTTGCTGTTTAAGAAAATAAAAAGCAGGGCGAGCAAATCAGATACGTGTACCCACTAAAAATAATTTTTATATTTAATAAAATATTAAATAAATAATTTGAATAATTACTTCTTCCATATTGCTATATAGAATCACTCTCTAAGTCTAGATCCTGAATAATATCAAAAGAAAAAAAAGTGAAAATTTATAGTGTGTTCCAAATTGCACCCCCCACCGTGGTGGTGGGGGGTGCAATTTGGAACACTCTATAAATTTTCATGAAAGTCAAAACAAATGTTGTGATGAAACATTATAAAAAAAAAAAAAAAACCCCAAAAAACTTTGAAATTTGTAACTTGGCATGTTTAATTGATATATGAGAAAAAAAAGAACTCTCAAGACATGGGAGTGGGCTCCATCAGGCTTTCTTGCCGTGGACACACCATTACTATAGCTGCAGTACATGTGGTCCCCCTATGATCATAATGGATTGCAAGGCAGGAAGCATTGGATTAAAAGTTTATTTATTTGAACACATGTGAAGATTGCATTCTTTTTGAATGAAATATAATAAAAATAAAAAAAATTTTTCAAATTTGTAATCTCACATGCTTAATTGATATATGAAAAAAAAAAAAAAAGAATTCCAAGAAATGTGGGTGGGCTCCATCAGGCTTTCTTGCCATGGACACACCATTGCTACTATAGCTGCAGTACATATGTCATACCCCTATGACCATAATGGATTACAAGACAGGAAGAGTAAAATTAAAAGTTTATTTATTTGAACACATGTGAAGATTGCATTGATTCCTTGGATTTCAACTTTTCTCTCCTATGCTACATCATGTGGTGAAATAAAACCAAGAAATTCTAACCAACCTGCGGCTAAGAAGCCATGATGTCTCACCTGTTGACCATGTTTGCCGCAGTCTCTGAATATGGAATCCAGTGAAGTCCGTAAGCTGTTCAATATCAGAGGTCGGCAGTGAAGATTCAGAGAAAGTAGCGGTTGCTAAGTAATTCTTTAAGTCTTCGATATCAGGTTGGCAGTGCAGACAATTTGGGAGAAAAAAAATGGCTGCCTTTATACACGTCGCATTGAATATTTTGAGCTTTCTGATTGGTTAACCCTTCTATTGGTGAACTATAAAATGAGTCAGCTCATTTAGGCTAGCTCACTAGTAGACATACACAAACAACTGCAACATCACCTGCCCAATCAGAGCCAACATTTGCAATTTAAGTAAATTGCATATGTGGTCCTAATGCTTTTAACCCTATAACACAAACCATCAATTAAGGTTACACCACTATTAACCATGGGTATATCATACCTGATTTTGAAAATATCAAAAAAAATATTAATCTTTATTTGAAATATTTTACATGCAGGCACTTTAAACTTTGTACTTCGAGTTAACATTAATAGGAACTGAAAAACATATTATTTAGGTCAGAAAATCAGGTACTGAAAATTGTAATTAAAAATAGGAAAATTTGCGCTGGGTACTATATACCCATGGTTAGTGTACTAGGGTTAAAAACCTGAATAAAAGGTGAGCTGCACAGACATGCAGGGAGATGGATCAACAGAATTTGATCTGTGCTGGACTGGGCTTCATGGGACTATCAACTACACTCTCCTATGCTACGTCATGAGAGCAAAGTAGAGACAAGTTTTTGATCAAATAATTCAGCAATAATTTAATTTTAGGCACACAACAGTTTTGACTTCAGTTAATCTGATTCTTAAGATAGTGGACAAAGGCAGCAACTTTAAGTAAGGTATGTTTCTGATTCATCTCTATCTTAATAGCTATAAGTCTACCATTTGTCCATGCTTAGAATATTGCTACCACATATGTTCTGATATTCCTGCTATTTATCTAGATAAATAGCAGGAATATCAGACCATATGTGGTAGCAATATTATTGGTCCTGCTCCTGCATCTCGGCTTCAGTCACTTTCAAACCACCATAAGGTTGCCTCCCTGTGTGTTTTCCATAAATACTTTCATGGTAATTGTTCGAATGAGCTCTTTACTTTGGTACCTAGACTTTTTGAATTTAAGCACAGTATTAGAATGATGCTGAAATGTCATCAATTAACATTTAGATGTAACTGTAAATTCTCTGCTAACAGTTTCTTTTCTCACACTTCTTGCTTGTGGAACTCCCTTCCGGCTTGATGCTTTCCAGCCAACTTTAATCTTCAAAAATTACAATGTCAATCGCTATTTACTGTCCTCCTGATTACTTTCCTTTTTTTTTCTTGCTTCTTAGTAATGTCTCTGTTTTCTAAATCTTCCACACCCAATAGTCCTTTGTGTCTTAGTGGCTTTATGGCCTTGCTTGGAGTGCACTTGATTTTTAAAAAGGAGTCGATAGGTTTGTCAATTGCTTGGTTCATACTCCTCCCGGTCTTTCGAACAAGAGTAGAGTTGTTTCCTGTTTAGTATTGAGTTTCTGGCCCCTTCTGAGTTCTACTTCAGTTCTATACTTCTAATGTTTCTGCGTAAACTCTGAAATTAATAATATTATTGGGTCATGAGTTACTTTTAAAGTCTTTTTCTTCTTGTTCATTTCCAGTAGCCCATTAGTAGTGTTACCACCTTGCTTAGGGTAAATGGATTAATAAAAAAACATTTTTTTTTTTTTTTTTTAATTCCCAGCATGTTGCTTATTTGAAATATCACACTTTTTATAAGTTGAAAAATCCCCGCTCATATGTCTATTCCAGATAGCATTTGAATTTGGCATACAAAAAACATGTACCTACAGTATTTTATCATATATTCCAGTGCCTCGGAACTTTGACTCCAGACTACATCCATTTGAAGCGTCAAGAGAATATGTTAGAGCACTTAATGCCACTAAACTCGAGCGTGTTTTTGCGAAGCCTTTTATTGGGGACCTTAATGGGCACAAAGATGTTATCAGCTGCATGAGGAAACATCCGACATCCATAAGTACATTGCTTTCTGGAAGTTATGATGGTGAGGTAAGTAAATTCAATCTTTTGTTTTTCATTTTGGAAACAGAATTATTATAATTATTATTTTATTTCCCCAGTGTTCACATTTTGTTCCGGGTCCCACCCAGAGACCTAAGGTTAAAAATGGCATCTTGACATTTTCCACCAAAAAGAAAAAAAGAATATTTTACATAGACAAAGCCCTTCATAAGGTCTGGCCTGTACTTGTAAGAACAATTTTTTGTATTTCTTTATGGCATAGACTTCCAGGAATCCCTTCAACTAGTCTACTGGAATCTTTTCCAACCAATCCGAGGGCTACAATGACAACAGCGATTGTTGATGTTCCCATGTGCTATATTTTTGAGATTTCAATTTCATGGTTCTTGCATTTTGATAGCTTTTTGAAGAACTTCAAAGATACATTGCAGTCTGCAGGGACTGCCATATCAATAAGGAGGCACTTTTTTGTTTGCAGTCTCTAATAACAATGTCTGGGTGGTTAGTTTTCATTATTCTGCCTGTGTGTATTGTGTAGTCCCATAAAATTGTAACAGGTCCTATCTCCATAACTGTTACTGAGTCTAAAAGAGTAGTGATGTGTCCCGCATCACTCTGCAGATATCCGGAGCCCAATATACCCATCCATCCTGAGTATGACGACAAACTACATCTGCATCCTGGGTAAGACGACAAACTACATCTGCGTCTTGGGTAAGACGATAAACTACATCCAACAGCAAGGCCTCTGATCAGGAGGTTTTGAGGAGCATGGCACCACCTCTTAATTGCTGGTGTTCCCAGGTCCACATTGACCCAGGGATGGTAGCACCTGTTAGGGTCCCAGCTATGGGAAAATAGTTAACCATGAAACTGAAGTAAAAGTATTATAAAAGTGTAAAAATAGGTTTTAATACCAGAAATACTTTATAAAAAATTATTACCAGAAATAAATTTTTGAAGAAAAAAAACTATTACCAGCAATATATTTTTGAAAAAGAAATATTACCAGCAGTACATGTCTTAAAATAATATTACCAGCTATACATTTTTGAGGAAAAAAATATTACCAGAAACAGATTTTTGACAAAACAAAATATTACCAGGAAGAAAAAGTTGTCGGCATTGAGGTTGATATACTGTAAAACACAACAAACCAAACTATTTCAAAATTTTGTTGGCATTAAATGACCCACTGAGGTTGATATGCCATAAAACAAAATAACCAACCAATGTACCTGTCATGACATCCAGTCTGATAAAGGTATACAAGGCACAGGCATTATAGCCAAATGTGCATAATTTTTCAGGTGAGGCCCAGTTAGTGTTGTTCTTTCTTGTCTTTAAGTCAGAGCTCTACAATAACTGGTCTGTATCCCTTTTATGTGTAAACACCATTCTTACTTTTGTTACTTGGCCGCCGATCGCTTATCATTTCAGTTTGGCAATGAAAGACTTCAATGCAGAGAATGTTAACTATTTTTATTAATTATGTCATGTACTTTATCTAACTATCCATTGGGGTCGCCCCACCCCTGGGAAGCTGTTTCAGACACAAAAGAGAACACATCTACATCACTTGACAGGTAAGAAACAACTCTCGGAAACATTTTCTCCTATCTCTTTCCCACACTGGCTCAGCAAATCAAAACCGACTTCTCTATTATGGTTCATATCTGACCCCATCTGTCAACCTCCGGAAGTTGGAGCCAAGACCAGTCAGTTATGTGCCATGCATGATACACGCTTAGACGATCATGTTTTGGTACATGACTGATGAGGCAGATTTTTTTCCCCGCAGTACGTTGCCACATGTTTCTGCGATAGACCAATTGCCATCCAAGGCTATAGAACCCGGTCTGTCCTGCTATTTACCCATAGCTGGGGTGAGAAGGAGAGGATTCATACCTTTCCCAAGGGTATTAGCACGTAAGTGAATGTAATGGATTCGACTGGAATTTGAACTTGGCTCTCTGATTCCTCAATCTGAGTCGCTATTACTCCACCATGCCTCCTCCTAGATAGCCAAGATACACATCCTCCAAAAATAATAATCTGCTAAACTATTATTAGTGTTTCTGGAGAGTGCTGCCATAGAAAATTACCCAAATATTAATCTACGCCCAGGTTTTTTCCCCATTTCCCCTTTCTTAGCAAAATTACTGCTCTTACAAACAAATATACACAACAGATTCATAAAATCAAAAGACAATAGTTGAATACATCAACACAGATATAATAACAATGTTCTCCACATGTGACAAATACTGACATTATTTTCAGTTAAAAATATGAAAATAGCGTTTCTCTACATTCCAGTTGCTAGGTACATTCTGTTTTTGTTTTTATTAGTTACTTTGTTCAATTAATTTAATTTTCGTATTTTGCTTTGATAAAGTCAACATTGCACGAAACGTGTCAGCAATTACCAGTTTTCCTATTGTCATTTTTATTCATAAATATTAGTGTTTTGTATACTTTTTGCCTTATTATGGAGCTTTGCCTACTTTTGTCTTGTATATATTGTCCGCTTGATATTATTTTTGCCCTGTTCTTTTCTTTCGTTTGTTGTTTATTGGAAACTTTGTCACTTCTGTTTGTTGGGCCATTTTTGCCAATTACACTAAACCATGGCCAATTACTCTACAGTTTGAAACACCTACAGTTCAGCCAACCCAATCCACTCAGGTGCTCTGCAATTAAAGGTGTTCTCAAGTATCCTGATGTAACTCTTCATTCTTTAAAAATGAATAAACCTTCTCAACAACAGCCATAATGTTTTTCCACTACTCCCACTGATGCCGTCCTGGGTAAGACAATAAACTACATCCAACAGCAAGGCCTCTGATCAGGAGGTTTTGAGGAGCATGGAACCACCTCTTAATTGCTGGTGTTCCCAGGTCCACTCTGACCTGGGGTGGTAGCACCTGTTAGGGTCCCAGCTATGGATAAATAGTTAACACCCAAACTTGTGTAAAAATAGGTTTTAATACCAGAAATACTTTGTAATAAAAAATTATTACCAGCAATAATTTTTGAAGGAAAAATTATCATCAGCAGTAATTAAAATTTACAGTGAAACATACTATTAGAGTATGTACATTTTGATCTAGTGTAAACAAAATATTACCAAGTGAGTAATTTAAAAAAAAATTTTTACAAAAATAAAACCATCCAAGATTGTAAATTTCCTAAAAGAAGTTGGATTGTACTAAAAAATATGAGTAATTGAAAAATAGTTCAAATATATATGTATCCATACAGACCTTTTTTACCAAACTATTGCTATGAATGTATTTCAAAATTTTTGTTGGCATTAAATGACCCACTGGGGTGTTGATATGCCATAAAACAAAACAACTAACTGACTACCTCTACCAAGTCCTTCACAAATCAAAAAGGGACATGATCACCCACCCACATGTAAAACGTGCATGTCAACTAAGGAAGGACGTTAAGGTCTTATTTTCAAAGCCTTGCAAAAACTTTTATTACACTGGTTAACTGCAGTTCAAATAGAGTTGGATAAATGTCGTCCTGTGATATCTTGAAGCAATCCTCTCTATACTCGGTGACATTATTTGTGCTAGTTATCAAACGCATAAAGTGTCTTCGATCTATCTGAGCCAGATTTAGACGATGACAAATTACACTGGCCAACAAATTTTTGTGACCAGAAACAAAACCCATTTATTTGATGGTGCTGATTCTGAAAACGACCTTAGTTTTTCATGGTTAGCTACTGTTTCTGCTGTACTGAAGTGGCTTATTTTTGGAAAAAAGATCAATTTACGATCTTGGCTGATCGCAAAATGTAGTTAATAAAGGTCGTAGAAACCTTTCAATTTTTCAGATAGGCCGTGCATTTTATGTCAGCCATCTGAAATAAACAATTTTTATGAGAATGATGTGTTTTTGATTCAAAAATTTTAAAATCGAACTACCAAATTTTTCCAATTTATCACCAAAATTAAGGCAAAATCAAAAAAATGAAACCCTAAAATCTTGTGTTTGAGATTCATAAATATATCCCATCACTTTTATCCCTTCACTACGGAATGAAACCAATCATATTGAGAGCATTTTGTTTTTACAGTTGGAAAGAAACTCCAACTAAAGACATCCCAATTGACTGCACCCATTCCATTGTACACATGATACTGCTGGAGTATCAAAAGGGACTTAAATAACTGTGAACATGACAGACAATCAAGAAAGACATAATGTTTACCATTGTTCTTATGTTTACGAAGGTTTTATTTCTGCTGTTAGTTTATTAAATGATTTGATGAAAATATTTGTTCATCTTGGTATATTCAATCATGTTATTTTTAAAGACTTAGGATCTGATGATTATTATCGCAAAAATAGTATTTTTTAATAAGCAGACCAATATTTGTTGGTTTAAATATGAATTGAGAGGTTTCTATGATTTTATTTTGAGAAATATTGCCATCGGTCAATATCATATATACAGAAAACAAATGAAAAAATACTTTTTTCAAAAACTTAGGTATTTCTGTACAGCTAAAATGGTAGCTAACCAAGAAAAAGTAAAGTCATTTTTAGATTCAGTGACCTCAATTTAGGTAAAAAAAAAAGTGTTTGGTGTCTTGACACCATGTCAGAAATTATTTTTTGTTGACCAGTGTTATCATCCAAGGGTTGGATGTGCATTGAATGCTTTGAGATTAGGACAAGCAATATGTTAATTCTTTTATTTCTTTTAAAAATTGCTTCTATCTTCGTTTCAGGTTCGCATATGGAACCTCATCAACAGACGTTGTATCACAAATGTTCAGGCTCATACAGGTGTTGTAAACAGTTTGTGTGTTCATCCCAGTGGACAACACTTCTTCACGGTAGGCTTCAGCTTTAAAACATTTCTCGATTTTCTTAATCAAATACTTTTTTTTTTTTTTTTACCAAAATGTTTCAGCTGATTCATTTTACAGCCTTCTTGGGGTATACAAACCATATGAAAAGAATTGGGTTGATTGATTTTGGAACATGGCAGTTCTTGTTGGGTTACTTACTATCAAAATCAGCCTCTTGTTTTATTTCATATGGCTGGCCTCTCAGTTCCGAGTATGACTGTGTTTAATAACCACTGAATCTACCTGTAGTTTATCTTATAACTATGCTGATCAATCGCAAATCCCATGACCCTGATGGGTTTATCTTATAAGCTGCAGTAGAAATATGCTTCAGCAAGATAGCCTGAATGAGCACAACTGTCTCCAGGCTGGTTTTGAATGCAAAGTTACTGTCTCTTAGACCTGTTGTAACCCGTGGTTATAGAACCCATTCTGTGCTGCTATTTACCCATATCTGGAGGGGGGGGAGAGGATTCATACCTTTCCCAAGGGTATTACCACATATATGAATGTAATGGATCCAACTGGAATTTGAATTCTGCTCTACGATTCCTCAATCCGAGCCATTATACATTATTGCACCATGCCTTCATAACTATGAATTAATTATATTTTTGGGAAATAGCGCATGATCTAGCGCAATCAATAGTTTGAACAAGGCCAGTACACTCAAGGCCTCAGTCACGATGACTTAGGATTAGCACAAAAATCATTAGCCTCTGAACAGTTTTGTCTTACTGTAGTATTGTTTTCAGGTAATTTTCAAAAGATGCCACGTACTGGGACCATCTCCCAAGGCTAATATTATCAACAATTTGTCACCTTGACACAGTGACCATAATGAGATGCAAATTGAGGTATCCTGGTTGAAACGCTGATCTTTTAGCCTCTCAACTATGTGCATACTATTTTATAATCATCTACTTGGTTTGGGAATTGGTTATTTACTATTGTTGCTTCCTGTCTCCCCAGAGCACGAAGCCTGGCAGGTAGATAGGGGGAATAGATCCTCATCTGTGCAGTAGAACCTAACCCCCCACCCCCACCATCCCCCAACATGCCACTGGGACGATTCAAAGGTAAAATCAATACAAGTACATGTGGTTCCAGTGTCATCGCAGGAATTGGTAGAATGTTGCTCTGACTATGGATTTTTCCTCAAAGAGGAATTCTAATTCCTTTCTTATGTGTGAACATAGCCTAGTCTAGCCCCAAAGTTTGGCAGTTTTATATCTGTGTTTTCCTTTCCTTCAGAATTTCCCAAACAGTGCGGCGGAAGAGGGTAGCGGGTGAGGTGGAATAATTGAAAGACAAAGATTTAGAAACAGTTTCAAAAAATTCTTATGCCCAAAATAAATATGATTTCAAAAATTTAAAATATTATTATGGATCACTTGTAATTGCATGCGTGAGTCCAAGTATAAATAGTTATAAATAATTATTGACTGATTTTATCATCCTCATATTTTTTTTTTGTTATATTAAGATAGTAACCAGGAGTCCCTCTTGGCAACAGTAAAGAGGAGAAAGCTGTTTTGGCTTGGACATGTCATATGCCACAATACTCTAAGACGTTTCTTCAAGTTACCTTGCAAGGGAGTAAACGTAGGGGAAGCATTCCAAAATCTGGATGGACAACATCAAAGAATGGGCTAGGATGATCCTCCTATACAATCCATATGAAAAGAATTGGGTTGATTGATTTTGGAACATAACAGTTCTTGTTGGGTTACTTACTATCAAAATCAGCCCCTTGTTTTATTTCATATGGCTGGCCTCTCGGTTCCGAGTATGACTGCCTGTTTAATAACCACTGAATCTACCTGTAGTTTATATTATAACTATGCTGATCGATCGCGAATCCCATGACCCTCTCTCTCCAGTGCATGAAGCCTGGCAGGTAGATAGGGGGAATAGATCCTCATCTGTGTAGTAGCCTTCCACACCATCTCTCAACATGTCACTGGGACAATTCAAAGGTAAAATGGTAAAGCTCTATGATCAGTTCGGTCATGAGAAAGGAGGAGGAACTAGAAGAAAAAGCTGTTGTGATTTGGACATGTCATACGCCACAATACTCTACCCAAGACAGCCCTTCAAGTTACCTTGGAAGTGGGGAGACGTAGGAGGAGACAGTCCAAAAGCTGGATGGATGACATCAAAGAATGGACCAGGATGGACATTCTGTCCCTGTTTCGTGAAGCAGAAAACAGATCTGGTTGACGGTGGCTGGCTGCGTCATCATCATCATTCATGTCTCTTCTATAATCGGTTCGGACATGAGAAAGGAGCTGGAACTAGGGTCCACAAACTGGAGGGGACTTCAAATTCTCGATTACCTACCTTTAACCCTATCTGTTTTTTATCGTTAGATGTATGTTTTATCATATAAAATTTGGTAAGGTGTGAGCAAATTTTCATTTTGAAAATGTGACTCAGAGAAAAAAAAAGTTTGGTAAACATTGCTTTACTTAGACAGGCTGCCAATATTCTAAATTTTTAAACCATTCAAAGAAAATCTTTCTATTCTTTAAATATACAATTCCAGGTTAACATTACATGCAAACAAAAAATATAACCTTAAAGGCTAATTAACTTTAAACCCTCCAACCACTCCTGCTTACAGAGAGATGGTTGGTAGGACTTAATATATGCTGATTCCAAAGCCTTCAAGTGGTAATCTGTATTAGGCTTACTCAGCACTAAGAACATGTCCATGCTATAAAACCAGGCACACTGTTGGCCTTTAATCAAATGTTCAGCTATCAGTATGCCCTGTTTCATGGCCTGGACATATCCTCAGTGCTAAGTATGGCTAATACTGATTATCAGCTGATTATAGACCCTGAGTAGTGCTTTGTGACCCTCACTATGTCATCTCCATTTGCTTTTTTTCTACCTACATTTATATATAAAATTAAACTAAGCACAACTGACTGTTACAGGTTGGAAAATTTTCCCAGATTTTGACATTTTTTCTAGGGTCTTTGGTTTTTTTTTCATCCAAATCTGTGAATTTGTTTCATGCTAAGTCTAAAAAGAAAAACACTTTTTAAAATTCACTATTTTTTACTGATAATGTTGAACATGTTAAAATTATTGAACTTTTTAAACAAGAAAAATCTCAAGCTGATGTTAAAAATAGCTGCAAAACATTGTTGGTTTATTTAATATGGAATTATCTATTATGACAGGTCTCTAATTTGTATTTAGATATTATATTTCTTTTTAATTTTTCTAGTTGAATTGTTGACCTATATTGCATATATAGGTGAACAATTTTTTGCCAGCCACTGCCACTGAGCAGATGGGAAAATCGTCTTATCCTTACTCTTATGGCATCCTTCTGGAAGTGTCTTTTCATGAAAATTGACTTTTCCTCACACCATAGCTCAGGACTCAGAGTTGGACATTGGAGATCTGGGGACAACAATACAGAACCAAACAGTGTGGAAAGGCATTGTCAATGGAGTTCCATCCAACCATAGGGACGTCAAAGGATCATCATGACAATATTGCATATGATATATTATTACACATAATTAAGTTACAATAAAATTTGTATTTTATGTGAATACTAGTTTATTTAAATTGAGATCTAGCAGAGTCGGGAGTACGAGACGTTTTCACTGGCCCTACTGTGTACATTTATGTTATTTATCTCATTTGACCTTTTAGGCATGAAACTGGTTAGTTTATTCAATATTTTTTTTCTTTTTTTTTGCGGAGGGGGGTTGTTTTCAGTTTCCTATCTTGTCCTGGGTAAAACGATAAGCTACATCCATTCCCAAAGTAAGACAATAAACTATGTCCAACAGCAAGGCCCCTGATCAGGAGATTTTGAGGCATGTGGAAAACCTCTTAATTGCTGGTATACCAAGGTCCACTCTGACCTGTGGTGGTAGCACCTGTTAGGGTCCCAAATATGGGCAAATAGTTAACCCCCAAGCTGAGGTCAAAGCACTATGAAAGTGTAAAAATCGGTTTTAATACCAGTAAAACATTTTTGAAGAAAAAAAATAATAATCTTGTCGGCATTAAATAACCCATTGAGGTTGATATGCTGTAAAACAAAATAAACCAATTCAAACAGATTTCTTACAAAAAGTACATATTCTATTCATACGAACATATCCTAAAAATCTTGATGGTATTAAATAACCCATTGAGGTTGATATGCCGTAAAACAAAAACCAAACCAAACTGATTTCTTACAAAGAATACATATTCTATTCATACGAATCTATCCTAAAAATGTTGTCAGCATTAAATAACCCATTGAGGTTGATATGCCGTAAAACAAAATAAACCAAATCAATCTAAACCAAAGAATACATATTCTATTCATACGAACCTATCCTAAAAATCTTGTCGGCATTAAATAACCCATTGAGATGTTGATATGCCGTAAAATAAAATAAACCAAACCAGTTTCCTATCAACGACAGTAGTTTTTTCTGTGCTTGGCTTTTTATTATGTTTGTTTTTGTTGCTGTAATAAAGTTCCATACCTCTAATAATATTTTTACATATTTTAAATACTTATACATATAAATTTTCTTTCCTTTTTGTTGACAGTGCGGAATAGACAAATCAATAAAACAGTGGAAATTGGGTCCTGATGGACAAGTTGATGATGAAGCAGTGAATGTCATTCTTGGAAAGGTCTGTTGTCGTTCTCCCTATTTTCTATCCAATCCTCGTGAGTGTTACTGAGAGGAGGTCCCTTGTTATAAATCTATATTAACATGCTTGTCAGGAACATGATCAGGGATGTTGTCCATGCATGTCAAGTTTTAATGCTATGTCAAGGGAAGCAACTCTTGGCTTTTTATTTATTCTAAGTTGCCTCCCGTGAGTTAATAATTATCTTAAAATTTTTATTGAATTTCCTTTTCTTTCTCTTTCCTTTCGAAATCAAAATTTCTTTTTTTAAATCTGAGTTTGAGTTTATTATTTTAAATATTTTCTGATTTCGTACACCCGCCACCCAGAGTGAAGGATTTTTTTTTCGTTTGGTTGTCTTCTACACAACTGTAATCATCAAAATATTACTAAATCAGTGGAAATTAATTAGCTATTTTTGCCATCATTGTCATAAATTTTACTTAAATAATATTTAAATATAAAAAAAAAAAAATTGTTACCTAATAATATACATACTTATACTTGATGTGAAAATAATTCTACATACTGTAAGGGATTCTAATACATTTAATTGTTCTTAAAAGAAATATAGTATATTAAAACTTAAAATATTTTTCAAATAAAAACGTAGTTAAATAAAAAACGCCCAAATTCTTTAAAAACAAATAGAAAAAAAAAAATTTTTGCCGTTAACAATAAAATTTTTTTAAAAAATCCAGACGACATGCATTTAACGGATGTCAGATTTCATTGAAAAATACATCCCTACCCCGTACCAAAACGTAACTAATAACTGTTACATCAAAATAATGAACATGCAAACACCCCTTGTCTGGATGAATAGATTTCTCTGTATCCTTGGAAACGTGAATTATGATTTTTGCTGTGTCTTTAAAACCCAGTAATTTTAAAAGTTACTTCAAAATTTGCTTGAGGATGAAATGGAACTAATGTCTTTAATTTAATTACAAAATTAAATTGGAGCTTTTAGCTTCCATTTTTGAAACATGGTTAAAACTGTGTAGCAAAAAAAAAACATATTTTAAATCAATTAATTTATATATATATATATATATATATATATATATATATATATATATATATCATATTGCAATTGATAATTGATAATGTTAAAGTGAAACCTCTCCAGCTGAGACATCATATTTCTTTTTTCCTTTTTTGGTCTTCAAAGAAACTTGGCATTATTGTGGCAGAATATTACACTTTTTATCTTAACTAATTCTGACAATAATTGGTTGACTTTAAAGCAGTACTTATTCAGATCCATAGTTTAGTTCTTCCAGAAAAAAAAAACTCAAAGGGCTACCTTTGAATCCCGACAGTGGGGCAAGCATTAACTGAGCAGTACTAAAATTAGAACTAGATAAGCTATCCCTGAATGTGATCAGTAGAACAAGAACAATCTATCCTTTCAGTTCAAAATTACCTGAAGCTTAACCGGTTTGAAAAGCACCTGACAAAGGTTGGGTGGGGAGGGCATATGGTTTAAACAGTTGAAAGGTTGTGACAACAACAACAGATGAGGATAATAGTCCACATGTAAATGATGAAATAATTGAAATATCACCTTTTAATAAAGACCAGCTTTTGTTGTTGTGTTTTTTGTTTTTTTTTTTAAGCGTTTCACCCCAAGCAAGGCGAGAAGCCACTAGGACGCAAGGGGTTACAGAAAATTTGGAGCAAGATCAGATAGGAGTGATAGAGGAAAGGATGGGGAGAAGGATACTGGATAGATCAAGTCAACTGGAGATGTCGATTGACATTACATTTGAATAGCTGGAGATTATAGCTCTCAGGGAAACTGGAATAGGGAAGGGAGTTCCACAGGCGAGAGGTGTGAGACATGAAGCTATTAGAGTAGAAGAGACGGCTACATTTAGGAGTTTTGACAGTGAAAGGGTGGGAGCGGGATGCCAGCCTTGTAGGGTGCTTGAATTCATGAAGTCTGGGAACCAGCGAATGCATCTTCTCGGAGCAATTACCATGAAAGTATTTGTAAAACAGACAGAGAGAGGCGACGACGCGTCTGTGAGAGAGTAACTGTAGACGAGATGCCAGAACAAGGCCAATTATATTGCATATCCGCCTCTGGAGCCTATCAAGAACGCCGAGGCAAACAGAAGGGGCTCCAGACCATATATGGCAGCAATACTCCATGCAAGGGCGAATTGTTGATTTGTAGATCTGGAGGATTGATTCCGGGGAGAAAATTTTTTACTGGCGCGGCACAGGGAGCCAACTTTTGTTACAGTTGACATTCATTCCACTTGTGTGCATCTTTTGTCAGGGTCTGGATATCACCAACTGCAGCTCTAGAATAGGAGTAAGGCTCCCCATTTTCTGCAAAAAAAAGAAAATACAATCATTGAAGTTAAGCAACACCAAGCCTGGTCAGTACCTAGATGGGTGACCACTTGGGAATTCCAGGTGCTGTAAGTGGGGATGTGTGGGTGGTGTAGTGGATAATGATTGGAATTGTTAATTGGAGAGCCAAATTTCAATTCTCATTGGATTCGCTATATCCAATTACTTACAAATACCCTAGGGAAAGGTATGAATCCACTACTTCTCCCCTAGCTATGGGTTAATTAGTAAGACATGTATTCATAAATCATTATTATCTCTCCCCACTCACCCACGCAAAAATAAAATTCTTATATCTAAAAATATTTTCTGGCTTTAAATTGGCTTGCAAAAGTGTTGATAAGTCGTAGAAAACAAATTGATCATAAAGAAAAAATACAAAGAAAAATGGAAGCACTTACCAGCTGGATACTTGTAGACTAAAGTATAAAAACAATATATACCTATGTACTATAAGTATAATAATAAAAAATATCCACACCTGTGGACAGGTGTAGATATTTTTTATTATTATAATAAAAAAATATCTACACCTGTGAACTATAATTATAATAATAATTAAAAATATCTACAACTATAATTATAATAATAATAAAAATATCTACACTGTGGACTATAATTAATAATAATAATAATAAATATCTACACCTGTGGACTATAATTATAATAATAATAATAAAAATATCTACACCTGTGGACTATAATTATAATAATAATAATAAATATCTACACCTGTGGACTATAATTATAATAATAATAATAATAAAAATATTCACACCTGTGGACTATAATTATATAATAATAATAATAATAAATATCTACACCTGTGGACTATAATTATAAAAAATAATAATAATAAATGTCTACACCTGTGGACTATAATTATAATAATAATAATAATAATAATAATAAATGTCTACACCTGTGGACTATAATAATAATAATAATAAATGTCTACACCTGTGGACTATAATAATAATAATAATAAATGTCTACACCTGTGGACTATAATAATAATAATAATAATAAATGTCTACACCTGTGGACTATAATTATAATAATAATAATAAATGTCTACACCTGTGGACTATAATAATAATAATAATAATAATAAATGTCTACACCTGTGGACTATAATAATAATAATAATAATAATAAATGTCTACACCTGTGGACTATAATAATAATAATAATAAATGTCTACACCTGTGGGATTATAATAATAATAATAAATAATAATAAAATGTCTACACCTGTGGACTATAATTATAATAATAATAATAAATGTCTACACCTGTGGACTATAATTATAATAATAATAATAAATGTCTACACCTGTGGACTATAATTATAATAATAATAATAAATGTCTACACCTGTGGACTATAATTATAATATAAATAATAATAAAATGTCTAAACCTGTGGACTATAATTTATAAAAATAATAATAAATATCTACACCTGTATAATTATAAAATAATAATAAAATGTCTACACCTTTTGTGGGACTATAATTATAATAATAATAAATGTTCACACCTGTGGACTATAATTTAATAATAATAATAATAATAAATATCTACACCTGTGGACTATAATTATAATAATAATAATAATAATAAATATCTACACCTGGGGACTATAATTATAATAATAATAATAATAATAAATGTCTACACCTGTGGACTATAATTATAATAATAATAATAATAATAAATATCTACACCTGTGGACTATAATTATAATAATAATAATAATAATAAATATCTACACCTGTGGACTATAATTATAATAATAATAATAATAATAAATGTCTACACCTGTGGACTATAATTATAATAATAATAATAATAAATGTCTACACCTGTGGACTATAATAATAATAATAATAATAATAAATGTCTACACCTGTGGACTATAATTATAAAAATAATAATAATAATAAATATCTACACCTGTGGACTATAATTATAATAATAATAATAATAATAAATGTCTACACCTGTGGACTATAATTATAATAATAATAATAATAATAAATGTCTACACCTGTGGACTATAATTATAATAATAATAATAATAATAAATATCTACACCTGTGGACTATAATTATAATAATAATAATAATAATAAATGTCTACACCTGTGGACTATAATAAAAGAAGACAAATTTTTTTTTTTTTTTTTACTCCCAAGAAAATTTAATTCTGTTTCAGTTTGTATCCACTGACATTTTGCATTGATTGTTTTTTGTTTTTTTTATCTCAGACATTGTTCCACTCAATGGATCATCATTGGAAAGACAATATCCTGGCCACCTGTGGTGAACAGGTAGACATTTGGGATGAGATGAGGGCCGAGCCAATCCGGACGTTTACCTGGGGGGTTGACAGTATTCAGTCTGTCAAGTTTAATCCTGTAGAAGTAAGTCGTCGCTTGTATATCTCTTTATTCCTTTGAGTTGTTAAATCTTTCTCTTTGTAACGTAATCTAAAACTTTACATCTGAAGCAGGAGTCCATCAAATAGAATGTAAAGGAATACACTGCAAATATTTTTAAAATCCTCCACTATCTTAGTTTTTTGGGTTTTTTTTCATATACAATTCTAAAAGAAAAGGAAAGTATAGATGCATCATAACGTTAGGCTTATTATATTTTCTGTAAAATACAAAAATCAAAAGAAATTTAGTTTAGATTGCAAACAATTCAAAAACAATTACGTATTTAATCAGTTTTTCAGTGGATCTTTTAGCAGTATTATTTTATTATGACTAAATATTAATTCTCACAAAAGTAGTGAAATTGACCTGCATTTGAAATCCTAATGCTACTCAAGTGACTTTATTTTCATTAGTAGCTCAAGTTAGCCCAGCTTATTGTAAAAGTCAAAGTAGTAAAATTCAAAATTTAGTAGCATGGGGCTTTCAGAAACAACGGAAGGTGGAAATTTAGTCTTTTGGTGATGTAGAAAAGTTTGTAATCACCCCCCAAAAATAAATAAGACACGATAAACTACATCCACATCCTGGGTATGACGATAAACTACGCCCAATAGCAAGGCCTCTGATCAGGAGGTTTTGAGGAGCGTTGAACCACCTCTTAATTGCTGGCATTCCCAGATCCACCCTGACCCAGGGTGGTAGCACCTGTTAGGGTCCCAGCTATGGGCAAATAGTTGACACCCAAACTTGTGTAAAAATAGGTTTTAATACCAGAAATACTTTGTGATAAAAAAAAAATATTACCAACAATAATTTTTAAAGGAAAAATTATAATCAGGAATACATAAAAAAGTACTAGCAAAACAAACAGCTATACATTCTTTGAAGAAAATATTACCAGCCATAGATTTTTTCAAGGAAAAATATTCCCAGAAATAGATTTTAGAAGAAAAACATTACCAGCAATAAAAATTTTGTCGGCATTAGATAACCCATTGAGGTGTTGATATGCCGTAAACCAAACCAAAAGACAAAGTACAGGTTGAGCATCATTTTTCAGAAAACCTCCAAGATCCGAAAGTCTTTCAGGTTCTGGAATAATTATAAAGCCCTTAAAATTTGTACCCCCTGGCAAAAAAAAAAAAATGCACTGCAAATATTTTTAAAATCCTCTACTATCCCAGTTTTTTTTTTCATATACAATGCTAAAAGAAAAGTATACAAAATCCAAAATGAAATTATATATGACAACATAAAATTAGGTTTAGATTATCTGCAAACTCATAAATCAAAAGAGATTTTAGTTAAATTAGACCTGAAAACAATATGGAATATATAAACCTTGAAATAACCTTGTGCCACTACAGAAAATACCTGGCTCATCCTGATATGTTTGCTTTTTAAAAGAGACAGATTAGATGAAAAATGGAATATTGTTACTATCTCTGCATTATTGTATGTGGGTATATATATATATATATATATATACAGCTATTGTTTAAAACCCTTGTTTTTTGTCATATAGGAAAATCAACAACATGCATAAAGAAATTAAATATGCGGCAAAAAAAATCTCATTCGTCAGTAACATTTTTAAACACCTCATAGAATGTAAAGTTCTTAAAAAGAAAACCTATGTCAAAGTGTTTTCCTGAATCCTTGATGACTTGGCTGTCCGAAAATGATAATATCAAGATGAAATAATGGAAACTGACCGTGAAAAATACAATTATGGTAAATGTGAAAACAGGTTTTCGATCAATTAGTAAACTTCTGGACCTTTTAGGCGACCTTATAGGATCCAGACGGCTATTTTTTGCACATGGAATTATTCACTGGTAATTAATCTTCGATTTGGCTGTGGAAAATGTCACTCGGCGGTTAGCATTAAGAAATTATGCAATTTTCTGAGAAAAATTTTTTTTTTAATGAAAAATATTCATTTTCGCTTCAAAATAACATCATTCAAAATTCATTCCTTTCTCTTTCATTTGGCATGAACATCATTGAATAAAAAGAAAGGCTAAATGGACCGTGATGCGATGGGAAATACAAAAGATATGTGAATTTTCTTTTTAAAAAAAAACAATGTTGTCTGCTAAGTGTTGTTGTCATCACCGGGTCATCCGGGTGTTAAAACAAAACAAAACTTATCAAGCCATTGTTCAAACATAGGTTATATGAAGCCCTAGTAATTGTGAACCCTTTTTATTCACCCTTTGCTTTTATCTGGGAGTGGTGGGTTTTATTACAACTTGTTCTAAGGTTTGCCGTCCGTTTTATTGCTAGCTGGCTGGCTGGCTGGCTGGCTGGCTGGCTGGCCTTTGACCTAGACGTCAAAGTCAATTAGGTTTATTTTCCCTTATCACGATTTTTAGAAAAAAAAGTTTTTTTGGTTTCTGGTGGTTAGGAATTGCAGATAAATCTCTTGCCTTTTACTAAAGATTTCCGTGGCCAGGTGTCAATTTTTTTAACCCTTGGCAGTCATAATTGAAAATTAACAATGGATTTTGTATTTTTTTTGAACCCCTAGGAATGTTGATTTCCTTCAAAACTCTCAATTTTATGCCTGAAATAGTTTGATTATGATCTAGGCTTTCTGATTTTAAAAAAAAAAAAAAAAAAAATGGTTAATTTCCCATTAATGGGGGAAATATTTGTTTAGAACAATATAAAAAAATGCAAAATTTTCACTATTTTTCACATTTTACCCACTGAAAAAATTTTTTGAGTCATTTACACCAGCTATTTTTACTTTTTAAATGAAAGAATATATCTTTTGCTTTCAGAAAATACCTAGTTTCATGGGGTTCAGATCAAAAGTTTCCTTGATATTCGTTTAGGTGATGATAAAACAGTCATTTTTCAATATTTTACCCCTAAAAAGTATAAAAAAACCCATATTTTGAGAGAAAATATAAGCTGTGACAAAATGACTTTTGCTATTTTTGTGATGATTTTCACTTGGGAAAAAAAAATTTTACCATAGGAAACCTGAATTATTTTTTATTTAAGTTCAGTGAATGGTCTGTAGGAAACCTCAAACAGCTGTGATATATATATATATATATAGGCACAGTGTAGTAGTGGATAGTGGGCCAGATTCAGGAATTGGAGAGCCAAATTCTGGAGAATTCCACTGAATCTGTTTCATTCACTTACATGCTAATACCCTTGGGAAAGGTATGAATCCTCTTCCTCTCCCTCCAGCCAAGGGTAAATAGCAGAACAGACTGGGTTCTATAGCCTTGGATGGCAACTGGCCTAGGAGAAGAACAACTCTGAATTCAAATCCTGCAGAGTGTTGTTTGGGTCCTTGTGGCACATAGTGCACCAAGTCTATATATTCAGCCCTTCAAAAAGTTTGGTTCTGCACAAAGCCTTTACTACTATAATCAAATTTTAATTAGAATAATAAAGTTTTTTTTAAACCTTTTAAAATTCAGGTTAGGAGATATTGTTATTAAATAAAATTATATTTACTGATCATATCATAAATCATAATACCTATTAAAATTTACAGACCCCATCTATCAATATTTTAAAAAGAATTTTGAATTGTTTTTGCATGTGTGTAAACATGGCAATTTTTGTAGATATGGATGTTCATACATAACATTAACAAAAATGAGAGCAATAACTGTAGTAAATTTAAAGCCGAAGTATTTAATTTTACATAAAACATTAGATTACAGGGAATATTTTTTTTAAATTTTTTCAGATTACTCAGTACTTAACAATTATATATAAAAGACACTCATGTTATGTTCTTCAATTATTTTTTGATGGATAAAACCTCCGTAGAACAAAATTAGATAAATATTGATCTGTTATCAAGCTGTCATCACATCAACAGATTAAATAAACAGGTACTGACATTTAAAAAGAAAATGCATCGATCAGTTAAGGCACGTCAGGCTAAATGACAGTTCCATATAGGATACAGGTTCAATTCCTGTTGGAGGACGAATATTTTCTATGAGTGTGTATATATATATATATATATAATATATATATAAGGCTGACCTATATACATATGTATGTGTGTCTCCTCACGCATACCAACACTAGCACTTATATGCATAATAATCGCCTGGATTATACCAATGGATTACTATATATATATATAGCAACCAACCAACACTAAACAAATTTATTATGAGTATTGTAGCAATGTTTTCAAATTCATTTGAGTTGATTAACATTTAACGCCATGTTGCAAGCTATCATCTCTAGTTATCTCCCTTGCATCGGGAACACAAGACATTGTAACCGCAACAATTAATTTTAAAATAATTATAACAAAGCATATTTACAAAATTCGCCTTGATGAATTTCAACTTAACATCAAGAATATAATTAGACAAAGAAAAAAGATTATTGTAAAAATAAATAGACATAATATATCTATATTACTGAATAAATATATGCTATATATATATATATATATATATATATATATATATATATATAGATTTAATAAACAGCTGATACTAAAATATTAAAAATCAGCATTAATAATTTTGTGCTCAATATATATATATATATATATATATATATATATAAAAAAGATTATCTTTAAATATCAATTTATATGATATATGAACATCAACTGATATTAATATTATTTTCATTTTTTATATATATATATATATATATATATATAAGAAATACACATAATATCTTACATTAATTGCACAACTCAGAGTTTCATGGAGAAGCAATTTCAAAGTGCTGGAATTATATTTATTTTTATTTTTTATATTTTGGGTCGACACAAGTTATTATTGGAATGGAATATAGAAAATTGCTTCAGTATGAAACTCGGAGTTGTGCAGTTAATGTAATATGTTATGTGTATTTCTTTTTATATATATATATATATATATATATATATATTTAGGCAGCAATCCTTCGTTTATGCATGTTTCATTAAAAACGACAGACAAGGTACTACGGTTAAGCTTTTTGTTTAATTTTTTTTGTGTTCGGACGAGAGCTATCTTTTCTGGACAAAGAGTGTATAAAAACTGTTCAAATGTTTTATATTTCTCAGTGATTTCGGCTATACCTTTAGCCATTATCAAGGATGATTCGATTTTTCAGCTTAATTGAGTGTGTGCATTATGTGTATGTCTTAGTGTGTAGTAGGGATGTTTTAATTTCTGAATATGGTTAGCACATTTGTTGTCAAATATTATTATTATCAATTTGAAATTGTGATGATTATAATGCGATAATGATGATAGTTTGACTGTTGAAAATACATGAATATCAGACAATTCAAAGTATCTATTTTGAATCTGATCGCTTCCCTCCCTCGCTCTGTATCTTGTTCAGTCCTTAAAGAAAGAATTATTTCTAGGTCACCCTATCAGCTCATGTTTAATTCCTCCTTCTTTCCTTCCCTCTCTCCTTCCTACTCTCCTCTCTTTTCTCTTTTTAAAACCTTATATTGAAATTTTTATTTTTCTTTCTTCCTCTTTTGATATTAAATTTTGTTTTTTTTTTTTTTTCTCTCCCTTTTCCTTACATCTGAATGAATTGACTCCATTTATTAAAACTTTGGTCTGAAAAGATGAATATTTCTATATTCATGAAATAAATTATAACGAATAGATTTTTAAGGATCGTCTGTACTCATTATTATATATATATATATATATATATATATATATATATATATAAAATAATATCTCCTGCTTTCTAAAAACAAAAACTTTTTTTCTCAATTTGACTTTTTCTTTTCCATCTTAGCACCATTTATTAGGGGCAACTGCTTGTGACCGCAGCATAATGCTTTATGACATGAGAGGTACAGCCCCACTGCGAAAAGTAAGTCATTTTTGCAATTTTATTTGAAAATAACACTGCCATCTTTTTTTTACAGATATATTTACCAAAATTGTACAAGAATTTCTTGAAATACTAAAAAGTAAATTTATTCAATAAAATCATCACTGGCTTCAAACACACCTTCTAACAAGTCTTCTTCCTTGTTTAAGTTGGTGAATTCTGTCATAATCTTTGCCTTCAATTCATCTTTGCTGTTACAAGGATTTTTGTTGTTCTTTTGCACAACTGTCCCCACATATAATAATCAAGGGGGTTGCTGTCTAGGGAGTTGGATGGCCAGATGTAAAAGGTGATGTGGTGGCAGAAATTGTCTGACAGCCAAGATTGTGTTCTCCTGCTTGTGTGGCATGGTGCAGAGTCCTGTTGCCAGACATAAGATCTTCCAGCAGCCACCCTCTTGGCCCAGGGCAGCACTATTCATTTAGCTACGCTGCAAGTTCTCCATGTTTTAAAACGTCAAATTCTGTGTTCTTCCATGACAGTAAATTTCAATTTTCCGTTTTTGTTTCAAAATCGTGAAAACATGTCAAAAACAGAGACTTAAGTGTGAACAGTAAAATATACAAATATATAACCTACTTACATATACATCTTTTATTTTTTGTACTTCAATGGTTTCTGATAATTCACAAGTGTCTCCCTCCAAGTCCAATTTATGGTGCGTTGACAAAAAATGCAAAATAATGTATCACCATCATGATAAAAATCATCACAGAAAAGCTGGCTCTTCGGCTCTGTATTTTGCTGAAAGTGTGCACCCACCAAGTTTGATAGCTTTTCATTTACTCATCATGAAAGATAATCAAACCAGCCTTTACAAATCTAATTTAATTACTAAATAAACAGCAATTTTTATCTTTACTACCCTTGATGGTGCATACCACGCTATTCATATGTTAATATAGCTCATGGGTATTTGCCCTGCAGCAATTGGTTTGGTCAGGTTAATATCATAAATTAGGTTATAGCATTTGTGCAGTACTAGGAAATCCCCCATGCTATTGACAGAATGACATGTTGCAGTAATATAAGTTGTAGCACTTGTGTATAAATGACTGATTTGTTTTGTATTGCAAATTTATGCAAAATAATGATTCTGTCAAGTTCCAGCTCAGGAATTTTACATTTTACCTTTGGAATATTTTAGTTTTCTGTGATTTTCTGTTTTCTACTTTATTTCTGTGTTTCTTTTTTCCCCATTTTCTGTATCACGGAGAACTTGTAACTATACATTTAGGTACTGAACAGGCTTGATGTTGCTTAACTTTGGTGATTGGAATTAGAACTAATGTTTCAACTGTAAAAAAATTGCCTTGCTTGGGGATGAAACAATTAAAAACGACTATGGATTATCTTGTGCTTGGCATTTTTTCCAGACACCAAAAATTTTATTTGCAGTGATGTTTTTAGTGTGAAAACAATAAGACTTCAGTTGAAGGTGTTAATCAGCACACAAAATTTTTTTCTTAGCTATGTTGGCTACTCTGACTCTGACTTTGGCATTTGAAGTCAAATTTTGTAATTGACCTCTGGCAGTTAATGTGTTAAAAAAAAAAAATTGTTTTTGGTTTGTTACCTGTTTGTTGTCCACATTCATGCAACCTTTTTACCACCATTCAGTGATTAAATACAGGCGGGGATTAAAAATTTGCTTTCTTTTTAAATGGACTAAAAAAACAAGAATAAATATGTCCACAGATATCACAAGACCTACACTACTCTCTCTCTTTCTCTCTCTCTCTCCTCCTGCATTTCTTGATGTTACCTAATGAAGCTTCGACTATCATAGTATGCCTTCATCAGGGTAACTTAGCATCACTTCAGGATGATATTCAAAAGTGAAAAATAGATTATTCTTGCTCTTGCTTTAACAAAAAAAAAAATATGCTTGTTAAAAATTTTTTTTGTCTTTTTAGGTTTTACTAAAACTCAAATCAAATGCCATGGCTTGGAATCCAATGGAACCTTTCATATTCACAGCAGCCAATGAAGATTATAAGTGAGTCTTGTTTTATTTTCTAATGTGTGTATGATATAAAGTACGTCAAAATGCTCTCATCCTCTTGTGATGGCTTTAGATTTTGGCAGAGTGTAAAACCATACCAGTTCATAGCTGATATTCGGGTGTATACGAGTTCAATGTTTTGGCACCAAATCCTGATGAGTAGTCAAACCCCCAAAGAGGCTTCTTGCCTCAAATACCTACAGCTCTTGGCCACCTCAATAGGTAAGATGCTGTAAAAATGGTCAGTTCCTTGTCTTGTGGGTGATCCCTTAACCCTGTCACAATATCACCCCATCATCTGACTCTCCGATCCTTAGTAAATATATATGCAGATGATACCACAGTTCAACTCTGTATATCTTGATAAAAAGTGCTTGACAGTTGAACTCTCCTGTCATGTCTAAATGCGTAAAAGACTAGCCAGTATCATTCAATACAACCCAAGCTAAACTAGTATCATTTAATCATCACCGAACAGACCCTAAACCTGCACCAATCTTGATGAGTGGTCAAATCCCCAAAGAGGCTTCTTGTCTTTGGATGCCTATTGGTTCTAAAGCTCACTCCTGACCTCAAAATGGAATGCATGTATTCGTGCCATCATAAAAGATTCTTGAAGAATGGTTGGTTCATTATATCCATTCAGGAAATACCTAACTCCTGCCGACATTATAAGAGCCAGATCAGATCAGGAATGGAGATCCTGGGTACGACGATAAACTACATCCGGCAGCAAGGCCTCTGATCAGGAGGTTTTGAGGTGCATGAAACCACCTTTTAATTGCTGACGTTCTCAGACCCACTCTGACCTGAGGTGGTAGCACCTGTTAGGGTTCCAGCTATGGGAAAATAGTTACCCCCTCCCCAACTGGGGTGAAAACAATATGAAAGTGTAAAAATGGGCTTTATAGTAAAAATACCAGCAATACATTTTTGAAAAAAAAAAAAAAAAAATGTAACCGACAATAAAAAATCTTGTCTGTATTAAATAACCCATTGAGGTTGATTTGTCTTAAAACAAACCAAACGAATAAAGAATGTAAGATTGCTGTCTGGCAGCAAAACCTCTGCTCAGGAGATTCGTGGTTTTTAGGATCATGGATTCACCTCTTAATTGCTGTTGTTCCCAGGTCCACCCTGACCTGGGGTGGCAGCACCTATTAGGGTCCCAGCTATGGGCAAATAGTTAACCTCCAAACAAAAAAATACTATGAAAGTGTATTTTTGTGGTAAAAATACCAGCAATACATTTTTGTATAAGGAAACTATTGACAATGCATATTTATTGTAAAATTACGAACAATACATTTGACGCAAAGGAGTCCATGAGGGCTTTGCGCAAGTCTGCTTCATTGGTGAAGAATTTCCCACGAAGATGATTATCCAGGGAGTGGAAGAGGTGGTAATCGGATGGCGCAAGGTCAGGTGAATAAGGTGGATGGCACAAAGTCTCCCACCCAAGTTGCTGTATGGTATCCCTGACCACTTGCACGACATGCGGCCTGGCGTTGTCATGGAGGAAAAGCACACCTTTGCGATTCACCAGTGCTGGCTCCTTCTGGCGTAATGCCTGTTGCACACGTTTTCAATTGCTGCAGTATAGGTCTCCAGTGACTGTTTGGTCTGTTGGTAGCAGTTCATAATGAACCACTTGATGACCTGTCCACCAGACACAAAGGATAATCTTGCGTGGGTGCATAGGCGGTCTTGCGGTGTGAGGGACAGCATCCTGAGGAAACAACCAATGTCTGGAACGCTTGGGAGTTTCATACAGAACCCACTTTTCATCACTGGTAAGCACTCGATTGAATAAGGATGCGGTACGGTGGCGAGAAAGCAGCGATACGCAGGCTGCCACTCATTGTCCCTTTGAGGACCTCCAACAGCGTTTGCGGAACCCACTTGCTCAGTTTGTATGTCTTATCTAGTCTAAATGTTTCATTGGAAACGTTGAACTGTCTTGCAAGTTCACCACACGTTAGACTACTGTCCTCTTCAATGGCCGCCTTCAGGACTCCGTCATTCAAGACCTGTGGTTGTCCACTGCGTGGCTCATCATGGAGAGACAAATCTCCCGACTTGAATTTTCAAAACAAACGCCTTACAGTACATTCATCCACAGCACTATCCCCAAGCACTTGAGATATGCGGCAACTTGATGCAGCTGCTGATAAGCCCACTTTGAAGTCGTAAAGCAAACAATCCCGAAGGAAATCTCTAAACACTTCCATCCTTCTCACAGCTGTCCAGCTTATAACTGATGGCCGGGCATGGTGCACGTGTCTTTTATAACGTTTGATGTTCCTACTTCCGGCTGTACAAATTTGAAAACAATTGCTACACGCATTTTGTATATATTTCAATTTCATTCAATGACTAATCAAAAAACAGACAGAACTTTTTTGGTTACCTTGTAAAATGACCAACAGTACCTATTTATATTAAATGAAAACGACCAACAATACATATTTATATTAAATGACCAATAATACCTATTTATAGTAAAATGACCAACAATACCTATTTGGAGGAAAATTACCAGCAATACATTATTATACCTGTGGTTGAAGGCATACAATTGCGTTCAAAAATATTTAGATTTCAGCATTAAATAACACATAAAGATATTGATGTGCCGCTAAACAAAATCAATCATCCATATCTGGTGCTGCTCAGTGTCCAGCCTCAACACAGTTCAAAAATGCTTGTTCAGGCTGATGAATTCTTCTCCACCCTGTGACCCTTATCTCACCGATGAAATATTGCTAGCCTCTTACTACTCTAGTCTAATTACTATCGCAGATGTTCAGATGAGCTGCATTCATTAGTTCCACCATCTTGGACCTTCACAGCTAGGACCAGCCATATTGTGTCCACAGTGGCAAACCATTGGCATTCCCTTTGTGTTCTTTTGATAAAGGAACAAGTTCCACTCAGCTTCTTCCCTAGAATTGTTACTTTGTAGAACAGACTCCCGAGTGGATGCTTCCCTAACAACTACAGTCATGGTCTCTTCAAGTCTAGGGTCAACCAGTATCTATTGTACACATCCTCATAATATGCATTTCTTACTTCCTCCAACAATCTCACTCGGCAACCCTCTGCCTTGAGTGGCCCTTGGGCCTTGTATAGGGTGAGCTAACAGTAAATAGAAAAAAAAAATTAAATGTGGATTTGATTAAACCTATGCGTTGCATTATCCACAATATTTGTTAATTGAACTTTGCGGAGAATTTTTTTTGGCCTTCTCTGCTCGTTAGGTGAGGACTTTTACTTTGTACTGGCATTAAACATAACAGCTTCCAAAGAGTATTTTTTTCTCCCCAATTTCGCTCATGCGGCTTAGTCAGCCAATTGTTCTATTGGAACAAGTCACTTAATCCTGGCAATTTGGTTGATAAATCTTCTATTTCTGTATCTGCTGGGAAATTTGAATCTGAACCCTATATTCATTCCATAGGCATCAGTTGTTACCATTCCATTGTCCCTGCTAGGGAATACCTTGTCAAATAATTCTTGTTGTGCTTCTTTTTATTTTGTCCATTTTTTTTTATTCCCTTCTTAAAAATCAAATTTTCTTCCCTTATTTTGACAGCTTGTACACATTTGATATGCGTAACTTAAGACAGCCAATAAATATTCACATGGATCATGTGGATGCAGGTAAGTTCTTAAGACTTTCACTTAATTTCAATGTTGACTACACAAAACACACACCCACACACACACATACATATACATATACATATATATATATATATATATATATATATATATATATATATATATAGTGTATATTTAGACAGCAGTTTTTCATTGATGCATATTTCATTAAATAATATAGACAAGTTTTGTCTATTTATTTTAAGTAGGTTCCTTTCATATTGTCTGATAAGCTTAATCACATTATTGTTGAAAGGCGAAAGGAAAACACCATATTGATATATATATATATATATATATATATATTGATATATATGTATATATACAGTAACACACACACACACATACATATATATATATATATATATATATATACACACACACACACACACATATATATATATATATATACAGTAGTACACACAGAGAGTAGTCCACCGCTATAGTGCAGGCCTTAACGTCCAAGATGATGGCTGACTCGCACTGTAAGTGAATTGGGGTATCTGTCGGTGGGGGAGGTGAGGCGAGAATAGGAGGTTGAACACCTGCCTGATTTTGGGGCTCTATTTGCCCTGTTTTATGATATATACCATAGATAATGGCTTGAAAAGTACCTCAAAAAATTATACTAATTCATTCCAGTGATTCCATAAGAAATTCCAGAGGCAATGGTTTACTTGTTAGGTTTTTCTTTTTTTAGAATTTGAATTACTTCAAGAGTTGGATTTTTATGCTGTATTGACAGAGAATCTACGGTGTGATCAGTTGGTTTTTGTGATTTTTGTTTTATTGCAAATTCCCAAAGGAGTGGAAATTTGAGATATAACAGGACAGAGAGGATAGTTTTGTTTGTGTTTTTTATAGTATTAGGTTGGTGCAAAAATAATGTCGTAAGAATGTCGTTTTTTGACGTTAAAAAATACGTCCAAAAACGACATTATTACGTCATTATTTTTGCACCAACCTAATACCATATATGTAACCTGGCCTATAACCCCCCACTATTTTAGGAAGTTTTCTTAGGGTCATTATATCTATTTAAATAAAAGTGAATGTCAGCGATTTCAACTTTACTACTAGAGGCTGTAGCCCAACCTATACCATTTTGGAGATCAAACTGACTGAGCAAATTAAAAATATTCTGGGTCAGATCCAGACCTGTAATGCTGAGATTTTGGATTCCCAAGTTTTCATTATTGCGATTTTTTTCGGCGATTTTTTTTTTTTTTTGCGACAAAGTTTTTTGTACAATAACAATCTCTTTAACTTAGAAATAAATTTGGGACTAATTGAAATTATTTGCGAAATCCAGTGAAAGTCATCCATGAAATAAAAATAATTGTTTTATGGAAAGTAAGGACCTATGTACATCAAATTTTCTTCAAGTGGCAGCAGAAGAATTATCATTTAACTTTTAAAAAGTAAGCTTAAATATTAATGCAATACTTAAATGCAGCGATCAGTTTTAAGTCCTTTTGTAGTTTATTGTTGTCTGTCGCATCTACTCCCCCCTACCTATTGTGATGTAGACCCAATTAAGTGCACTCTTTTTTTTTTTATTTTTTTATTTTACATGATTTTTTGGTGACAAGTTTTTTTTGTACAATAACAATTTTTATAAGTTGGAAATAAATTTCTGAATAATTTAAATTAATTGTGAAATCCAGTAAAAGTCAGCCATGAAATAAAAATAATTTTTTGTATGGACCTACATGCATCAAATTGTCTTTAACCTTTATCATGCTAGAGGCGAAAATAGTCGCTGTAGAATTCTCTCCCTTTGCTGCTCTAGGCACATTATGTTGCCTTGAGATGGTTGCTATAAATAAACACTTGTCAACTGTTATTTCTGGTATTTTAAACTGGAAATCGCCTACTACTGCTTTGAACGAGGTCAAACTTCCTTTTCCTGATGCCATTTTAAATTCTTTTGCACTCTACACAAAGTGTAACATTGATTATACTCATATAAATATTTTTGCGATATTTTCATAAACAAAAATGGCCGCATCAACATCCAATGAAGCCTTTATTCAGAAGTTTTTTTTGACTCTGACTTTGGTGATGATTTTGAAGTCTTTACTCAAGTGGGTATTGACGGTGAATTGGTCGAAGATCCACGCTAGTGACATAGAAAAAAAGCAATGATGATCACTAGATGACCACTAGCTTCTACTATCATCCATGGGTGACTAATCTTATGGAAGCTACTGGTGACCATTGATGTACCTGATAGCCTTTCTGAAGGTGAATTATTTTGTCTATTTATAAACAACAAAATAATAACTTTATTTGTCAGTGAGACAAATAAATATACTAGTCAGGTGAAAGAAAGACCAAACAAATGCTGGTGTCTTTTCATATATAAACATGAAGAAGTACATTGCTTTTTTGATGACATGAAAGCCATCTTAGCCATTTTGCTTCTTATTGCACCCCATAACTCCACAAGAAGCAATAAAAGTTAAAGTATGTTAAAGTGTTGATACAAGGAAAGTTATAACAATTTTAATACAATAGGTGTTCATGATTTTGTGCCCTCAAAAAAAAAAAAAATGGAGTGGCAGGGAAACAATTCTAGTAAGAATTTAGCATGCTAAAGTTTAAATTAAATGGCAGCTAAAGAATTATCATTGAACTTCTAAAAGGTAAGCTTAAATATTAAGACAATACTTAAATGCAGCGATCAATTTTGAGTTCTTCTGTAGTTTATTGTTGCCTATCGCATACAGCAGCAGTATGCCTTGCAAAAAAGAAATCTCCGCCCACAGAGGACCAGATTGCAATCAAAATATCCAAGATAAAGGAAGTCTCATTCAAATGAAAACTCAGATGAAATGGCAGCCAGGAGAGCTTCCAGTGCTAAGAATATGCAAAGACTTAGGAATTTTTAAACTTCTGAGCAAGCCAAAGACCTAATCAAGAGCCCTTCATAGGGGCTAGTTTAAATGCCACCCAATAGGGTGGCTTTTAAGCTAGTTATACATATGTACGCACACGCATTTACATCTCTGAAGAAAAATATATGGAAAAACAGATAAAAATTCTAATATGCAATTATGCCGTTTTAATGTTAATATAATGTCAATGTCGGATGTTTCGGTCTAGTAGACCATCTTCAGGACATATTCATAAAACAATTAACATTAGACTATATTCAATTCAACATGAAAAAGACGATGGACATAAGAGTAAGACTAAACAGATAACTGAAATTTTTTTATAAGATCAGCGTTCCATTTTAATATGATCACGTCGTCGTCATGTGGCCGATGTTGTGAAAACATATTCGGAGATGATTTCAAAATATTAGATAAGCTTGATTGAACGATTTTCTCATATAAACAGTTTGTTAAGAAATCCTTTTCTGTTCTTATAGGAATACGCAGAGATCAATATATTTTCGTATAAGCTTGAAGTCTTCCATGTTATAAAGTAAATTCAGGTTTGTATTTCCAGTAGGCAGTATGATCTCCTGTTAGGGTCCCAGCTATGGGTAAATAGTTAACCCCCAAACTGGGATCAAAACATTATGAAATTATAAAAAAATTTAGAATAGAAATATCAGCAATGCATTTTTATAGTAAAAAAAACATTTAGGAAAAAAAATATTACCAGCAATACATATTTGTAACAAAAGTGGAAAAAAAATTACAAGAAACACATTTACATTTTTGTAAGGAAAAAAAAAACAATTACTAGAAATACATTTTTATAAGTAAAAAAAAAAAATACTACAAATACATTCATGTAAGTAAGAAAAAATTACTAGAAATGGATTTTTTTAAGTAAAAAATTACTAGAAATGGATTTTTGTAAGTAAAAAAATTACTAGAAATAGATTTTTGTAAGCAAAAAAAATTACTAGAAATAGATTTTTGTAAGCAAAAAAAATTACTAGAAATAGATTTTGTAAGCAAAAAAAAAAAATAGATATTTGTAAGCAAAAAAAAATACTAGAAATAGATATTTGTATTAAAAAAAAATTACTAGAAATAGATATTTATAAGCAAAAAAAATTACTAGAAATACATTTTTGTAAGCAAAAAAATTACTAGAAATACATTTTTGTAAAAGAATGCTCCCAAGAAAGAAAATTAAATTTCAGCATAAAATGACCCATAAGGTGTTGATATTCCATTAAATAAACCAAACCAAAGCTTGTAATATCTTAAGAATGTGTTTGTGTTTATTTAGTTTCTTTTGCTACAGTTTGATTTCTCTATAAATTGAATTTAATTTATTTTTTTTTCTAGTTATTGATGTTGATTATTCACCAACTGGTCGGGAATTTGCATCTGCTGGCTGGGACAAGTGTGTACGTATCTTCCCCCAAAACAGTGGACGAAGCCGGTAATTGTTTTTGCCATATTTTCTTTTTATTTTACTTACAAGAGTGTTTAATATTGTTGTTGTCAATTCTTGAGAAAAACAGAATGAATAAATCCAGTTTCATATGTTTGGGCATTTTAAAAATAACTTTGAAATTACTTTTAAAACAATAAAAATTACTGAGAGAGTATACAGTAATAGCCAAATCAAGGGGAAAAAAAAAGTTCTTTTGACACACCCTTTGCGGACGATGGTGGGCAGGTATGTATGTTAAACAATTTTATTTTCTCTCTAAACATCAATCAAATAAGAAATGGTTGTCAAACAGCTTGTGTGGGTGGAGATAGTTGCTTGCTTCTCTCTGGTGCCAGAGATCAGTGTTCGAGTCCAGGTTAAATTCAGAATTTCCAGGTGGATATAGAGGAGGTAGACTGGTCAGTCGTTGTTTGAAGATTGGTGGAACACGGAGGAGGTAGACTGGTCAGTCGTTGTTTGAAGATTGGTGGAACACGGAGGAGGTAGACTGGTCAGTCGTTGTTTGAAGATTGGTGGAACACGGAGGAGGTAGACTGGTCAAAGTTGTTTGTTTGAAGATTGGGTGGAAGATTGGTGGAACACGGAGAGGTAGACTGGTCAGTCGTTGTTTGAAGATTGGTGGAACACGGAGGAGGTAGACTGTAGACTGGTCAGTCGTTGTTTGAAGATTGGTGGAACACGGAGGAGGTAGACTGGTCAGTCGTTGTTTGAAGATTGGTGGAACACGGAGGAGGTAGACTGGTCAGTCGTTGTTTGAAGATTGGTGGAACACGGAGGAGGTAGACTGGTCAGTCGTTGTTTGAAGATTGGTGGAACACGGAGGAGGAGGAGGTTTTGAAGAGACTGGTAGACTGGTCGTTGTTTTGAAGATTGGTGGAACACGGAGGAGGTAGACTGGTCAGTCGTTGTTTGAAGATTGGTGGAACACGGAGGAGGTAGACTGGTCAGTCGTTTGTTTGGAAGATTGGTGGAACGTTGTTTTTTGGAACACGGAGGAGGTAGACTGGTCAGTCGTTGTTTGAAGATTGGTGGAACACGGAGGAGGTAGACTGGTCAGTCGTTGTTTGAAGATTGGTGGAACACAGTCGTTGTTTTTGGAACACAGTTTTTCTCTCTTTTCAGTTTCACAGCTCAGTTTTAGGAAAAGAAAAAAAAAAAAAAAGATTACTGTTTTGCGAAATATACCAGCGAATTTTCGGGAGAAACTACTGCCATTGTTTCATAATAGTTACTTTGGTGCAGTGGTTCCCAAACATTGTTTTCCTCGAGGCTGCATTTTCAGAATAAAAATTTGCTCGCGTCTCACCAGATTTTATGTGATAAAAGGTACATTAGAAAATACAAAAAAAAACAGAGATTGGATTAAAGGGAGATAACTACAGATTCGAAGTCAGAACATTATCATTGATAACTCTCTCCTCCAATTTGCAGACCCTAGCTACTATATTCTTAATACTTGATATAATGCAAAAATATCCTAATGATAAAATCAGTCGATAATTACTTATAGCTATTTATACTGGGTCTCATGCATGCAATTACAAGTAATCGATAATAATATTTAAAATTTTGAAATCATATTTATTTTTGGCATATGAATTTTATTGAAACTGTTTCTAAATCTTTGATTGTCGTTCAATCATTCTGCCTCACCTGCTATCCACCTGCAACACTTGGGGATCATTCTTTTGGAGTACGGATCGGTCCTCCTATATGGCATTGAGTGTTGGACAATCACCTGACAATTGGAAAAGAGACTTGAAGCAACAGAAATATGGTTCTACAGAAAAATGCTGAAAATACCATGTCGAGAAAAAGAATTTGGCAGAGTTTAAAGTGCATATGCAAAAAGCAAAAAAAAAATGGTCCTCCTATATGGCAGTGAATACTAGATAATGATCTCACAGTTGGAAAAGAGACTTGAAGTAACAAAAACATGTATGTGACTTCATTTGCTGTACAAAAAGTTTATCCTGCCACTGAAGGTGACTCTGATCCCTGAAGAATAGTGTGTTTGAATTTCATGGTTGTGTTGTCATATCCTGCTATGGCAACAAAAGATGATTTTGAGTGAAATTAACAATAAGGATACTGCAACTGAGAGGCCTTGAAAAAGGAAACAGTGAAAAAAGGGAAGTAATATTAATAATGCAGTGTGCTAAAGGTTGAAATAAATTTCTGTAAAGAAAAATAAACAAAAAAAAAACTGTTCCTGTAGGCAAGACAACTAAATCCAGATAACTCTTTAAAAAGTCAGGGATCGATTTTACACTGTATCGCTATTAGGAACAGGACCCCACTTCTAAAATGATTAAAAAAAAAATTGATATTTTTCGATTTTAACTCTGAAGATCTGATGAATGCTAATCTACAAAAATGAATTGCCCCCCACCCCCAATTTTCTGCTATTTTTTATTAATGAACCAATCTGCTTAAGTAGTGTTGGTAACTTTACCAATATAGAAGATTGTGAATACAGGTGTCTCAACACTTGACCTTGTGGCAAACTTAGATTTGTTCTTTATTGCTTTTTCTCTCTCTCTCTCTTGAATTCATTTACCTTTTTCTTTCTTTCCCTAGAGAAATATATCATACAAAACGAATGCAGCGAGTACACCATGTACAATGGTCTCTTGACAACAAATACATTTTGTCAGCGTCTGATGAAATGAATATACGTGTATGGAAAGCAAATGCATCAGAAAAACTGGGTCCTGTAAGTATCAGCAACTCTCTGAATAATATTATGGAATAACT